TGGGGACTTAAACCTGAATACACACAGACTCATGGGGACTCGTGTCACGGTGGGGACCTAAATTGAGGTCCCCACGGGTAAACAAGTAGAAAAACCATTACGTCTATGGAGAGTCCCCGTAAACCACAAATACAAGTAAGTGTGTGTGCGCATGTGTGTGAGTGTGTGTGACAGAGAGTGTGTGTGTGTGTGTGTGAGTGTGTGTGTCTGTGTGAGTGAGTGTGTGTGTGCGTGTTTTCAGTATAGACCAACACTTCCTGTTTCTGCCAGCAGAGTTGCCATAGCAACTCCTGAGAGCATCACTGTGGCTCCAGATGATGCTGATCTTCAGTCCAGCGGTTTCTGTTCAACCCATGAGGACCAGGTCAGAATCTGCTGTGATCCTCATTCCTCCAAACCTCAGCTGTGATGAGGAGCAGATCAACAGGATGAAGAGCTGATGTGAAGAAACTGACTGTTATGATACAGATGATCTCAGTCTAAAATGCACAAAATACAAGTGTGACTTCATGGGGGTTTTAAAATTCTGCTCAGCTGTTCATTGGTTGTGAGAGTCACGTGGGAGTGAGATTATTACATGAACGTGTACAGTTAAAGAGCATAAGACAAAACGTGTTTAGCCATTGAAAAACCAGCAGCTCCTTAGATGTTTTTTTTATTTTCATTTTTTTTTATTTTGGTGAATATATATATATATATATATATATATATATATACAAGCTGCTTGAATGATCAAACCTTATCAGTTTATATTGCATCTGTATGAGCTGTACAATATTTCTGCACTTGATATGAATATGTGGCTCAGTCAGTGATAAATCAGGATCATAAAATGATGCTCATTCTGCGAGCCCGCTATAATTCAACGAGATGTTCAATATATTGCCCTCCTGCAGCATTTATTCAGTAAGAAAATACACAGGAAAAATCGCAGAAGCTCTGACGTCATCGGACGGTCAACCAGCATGCGGAGCGACGCGGACCTGCCATTGGCCGCTGGACGGGAGAACGGGTTTTCTCTGGGCAGATTAGGAAACTGAGCGCCGTGTGCTCGAAGGCGCGCCCTTCTTCCGCCATCTTGGCTCAAGAGGCCCGAGGAGCGTCCGCGGAAACATCCGGGGTATCGCGCGCACCTCGGCGGCCATTGCGGCTCCGCGTGCGGCAGCTTTATAACCTTGAGAGGGCGGAGCGTCAGCGCGCTGGACTGGAGTAGCAGCGGAGCAGGAGGAGAGACGCCGAGGCGACGAAGAGCTGCAGAAACCGTTACACGGCAGCACTGCTTTACCTCACCGCTTTAACGGGAGATCAGGGCGTGTACCGGCGCGTCTAACGGACAATGATGAGCGCAGTCGGACGGGAACCGGAGCGGCGGTGGCGTTGAGCGCGTTTTCATGTTTGAGGCGGATCGTCGGGATCTTGAGCGTTTGGGCGCATCAGCGCGGTTTTTTTTTTATTTTTTTAAATTAATTTATTTTTTCGGTGTTTGAAGCGGCAGATTCCCGGAGCGTTGCGACCTGAATCCCGGAGCGTTGATTTTCCCTGACATCATCATCCTCATCCTCATCGTCGCCCGGTGTGAACGGGCATCCTCGGTGGTCGTCGACGGGAATCCGGGGGGTTTACAGGATCCGGGTGTCGGTTCTGACATTCGCGGCGCGTTTCTGAGGCAAAGCGGATCTGTCGGCGGGAGAAACGGTAACGCTATGGCTGACGACGACGTGCTGTTCGAGGATGTGTACGAGCTCTGCGAGGTGATCGGGAAGTGAGTGATCCAATCTCATCAATCATTTCACTGCTGATCGGCGCTCTTTGTCCCGTGTGTTGACATTTTACTGCTTCAGGTTCAGCTGACCGAGTGTGTGTGTGTGTGTGTGTGTGTGTGTGTGTGTGTGTTTGAGTTGACTAGTATGGATTGATCAGTAACTCCTCATAGTCTCAGTGATTTGTGGCTTCTACTCGTGTGAGCGTCATGCCTTTTTTGTCTTGGTCATTGATTTATTCTAATAATTAAAAGATTTTTCATTGATTCTCTATTATGAATCTGACTGTGTGTGTGTGTGTGTGTGTGTGTGTGTGTGTTTTGTGAGTGTGTGTTTAGTGTGTGTGTGTCGGTTTTGTGAGTGTGTGTTTAGTGAGTGTGTGTGTCGGTTTTGTGAGTGTGTGTTTAGTGAGTGTGTGTGTCGGTTTTGTGAGTGTGTGTTTAGTGAGTGTGTGTGTCGGTTTTGTGAGTGTGTGTTTAGTGAGTGTGTGTGTCGGTTTTGTGAGTGTGTGTTTAGTGAGTGTGTGTGTCGGTTTTGTGAGTGTGTGTTTAGTGAGTGTGTGTGTCGGTTTTGTGAGTGTGTGTTTAGTGAGTGTGTGTGTCGGTTTTGTGAGTGTGTGTTTAGTGAGTGTGTGTGTCGGTTTTGTGAGTGTGTGTTTAGTGAGTGTGTGTGTCGGTTTTGTGAGTGTGTGTTTAGTGAGTGTGTGTGTCGGTTTTGTGAGTGTGTGTTTAGTGAGTGTGTGTGTCGGTTTTGTGAGTGTGTGTTTAGTGAGTGTGTGTGTCGGTTTTGTGAGTGTGTGTTTAGTGAGTGTGTGTGTCGGTTTTGTGAGTGTGTGTTTAGTGAGTGTGTGTGTCGGTTTTGTGAGTGTGTGTTTAGTGAGTGTGTGTGTCGGTTTTGTGAGTGTGTGTTTAGTGAGTGTGTGTGTCGGTTTTGTGAGTGTGTGTTTAGTGAGTGTGTGTGTCGGTTTTGTGAGTGTGTGTTTAGTGAGTGTGTGTGTCGGTTTTGTGAGTGTGTGTTTAGTGAGTGTGTGTGTCGGTTTTGTGAGTGTGTGTTTAGTGAGTGTGTGTGTCGGTTTTGTGAGTGTGTGTGTGTGTGTGTGTGTGTGTGTGTGTGTGTGTTTTGTGAGTGTGTGTGTGTGTGTGTGATATTGTACTGCTGTCGTTTGGTTAAGACACTGTAGTTCAGGTCATTAGTTTAGTCTATTATTTAATGCAGATGAATGGATCTGTGATGACTGTGAGTTCATCTGCTGTCAGGCCTGTAGAAGCTCTGCTCTTCTTCAGCTCTGAATGAAGCGATCAGGGTCAGTCTTCATCACGCTTCACCCGTGTCTGTCAGCGTATGAATGTAAAGCCGCTGCTCGTAATCTGTGACTGATTTCACTGTGAATGTGTTTGAGTCTCATTTGGGTTCATGAGAAGAATCTCTCAAACCACTCAGTTATATTTGCCTAAAAACAGTATTTGTATGACAGCATTTCCCTTCATATATTCACATCACTACTCTAAATGCCAATTATTTATTCATCACAGTAGTTTTTGTTGTGCTGACTTTATTGCTAATTTAAAAAACACTATTACAGTAAAAATACTGAATTACAGTATGAGCGTCTAATGAGAATTCAAACATCCAGACAGGTTTGAATAATCCTAGTGTTCTTAAAAATGCTTTAATTTCTTTATTCAATTCACGGTTATTTGTATAGCACTTTTCACGATACAAATCCTTGCAAAGCAGCTTCACAGAAAATGTAAGTTTCTACATTATATTTAGGAGTAGTTTATCAGTGCTGATTATGTCAAGGTGACGTCCATATGGCAGAAATGTACAGTAAAAATCATGCAGGTAGTAATGACATGTATTCAAACAAACAGTGAACACCATTAACAACAACGATTTATCTCAAATGATATTGTTTGTATTTGGTGTAAATTACGTTGTGTTTGTAAACTTATGATCAAATTCACTCATGGTGTCATTTAGGGTACGTTTACATGACAACAATTGTACTAAAAACAGAAAATAAGTTTTTCCTTTGCGCTTTTGAAAGGTTTTGTGTACATGTTTCACAGGGATGCATGAAAACGGCTAAAAACGCTGTATTATTCATGCAGTAGTTGGCAACGTCACATTGTAAAGAAATACTATGCGCTCTTCAAGTACATACTCGTGCACGCCTATAGACTAAACGCATAATGCACGTGTGCACGACATCAGTTTTCAAAAGCTTGCGTTTTCAATCCCCCAAAACTCTGTTGTCGTGTAAATGAACGTCCAAAACACATTAAAAGTTTTCCATTTTTAGTTGGAAATGATGTCATGTAAACAGACTGAATGCACTCGCTTTGAATCATTTGACACACAGCGTTTGTTTTAATAAGAATGCTTAAATCATTGACGTACAGCTGATAATAGTAGACCTGATGATGATGATGATGATGATGATGAAGTCACAGCTGTGTGTGTTGCTGACTGCATTCAGATGTTCTGCTCCATGAGCTACAGATGATCACAAGAGTCCTCCGAAGAGACCGTGATTGATCTCAGCAGCTCGAGAACTGAAGGACTGGAGGGGTTTTATGATGGCTCTCAGAGAGGCCTGCACTGAACACGTGTGTGTTTAACAAAGCATTAAAAGTCAAAATTCTGATTAGGGATGTAACGGTATGAAAATTTCTTATCATGATTATAGTGACCAAAATGATCACGGTTATCAGTATTATCACGGTATTGTTAAAATGTGCTGGAGATGTTCAAAAAGTACTGACACCCAAATCATTTCACCAAGTTTTACATTTCAAATCAACAAACAACAAATAAAATGAGTTTTTGTTTGCATAACTAAAACAATAACATTGCCAATGATGTCCGGATTTTAAATGACAACATGACTGACAACAGTTTATCTAATAGCATGTTCAAATATCTAATGTAAATGTTCAAATAACATTATACACTATTCCATTCAGTATAATTTTTATTATTTTTTTGGGAAAGAAATTATAGAAATTAATACTTTTATTTAGCAAGGATGCTTAAAATTGATCAAAAGTGATGATAAAGGCATTTATAATGTTACAAAAGATTTATATTTCAGATAAATAGTGTTCATATCGATATCGGAATTATATCGTACCGACCGAAATTAAGAAATATATCGTGATATCAATTTTGGCCATATCGTCCAGCCCTAATTGAGGGACTCAAACACAACTATTACAAAAGCTGTGAACGTTCCCTGATGCTCAGGAAGGAAACACTACATGACGTCAGATCACCTTTATTTCTATAGCGCTTCATACGATACGGATTGGTTCAAAGCAGCTGTGGTTTGCGTTCACACTGGCTCAGTGTTGTGTCGGATCGGCTGGTTCGGTGTGATGTAGGGCTGCAACAAACCATTATTTTGATAATCGAACTAACTACTAACCCTAACCCTAACTATTATTAGTACGATTAATCGACTAGCCTACTCATCGATTATTTCACTGATTAATCAGTAGACTTTAATTGATTATTCAGCTTTTGCAATTAGTTAAAATATTGAGTTATACATATTCTAACAAATAAATAAAGGTAATCATTTCAGCTTTTGAAAATCATATTATGTAATTACAAATATACAATTAATGTATAAAAATAAATGTATTTGGCACAAAATGAGATGACAGACAGAGAAACTCTCTCATTCACCATTTAGTTAGCTATATGAAAAAGTCACTGAATGACATCATTCTGCCTGACATCTCCTTTTGTAAGTCATATGGATAAGAAACAAAATAGAGGTAAAATGATAAGACGTTTTATTTTTGGATAAGCTATTTTATTCACAACATAATCTCTCTTAAAATACTGTATAGGCTTATGATAATCAAAACAGTCCTGAGCTAGATCAAGCTTTGATCTCTGCAAACCAAACTATCACTTTAATGAAATAATATTTTTCCCACTAATAAACAGATTTTATCATTAGCTAGCTCCACACTGGAGATCTGCTTTATAACAGAAGAGTAGTAATTCTAACTGAAAACGACACTGACTCTGGTTTTTCATGTTTAATACTGTAAAGCTGCTTGATTCAAGGCTGTCTATTGCATAAAGTAGTATATAAATAAACGTGACGTGACTTCACTGGAGTACTGAACTGCAGAGCTCGTGCAAACATCCACATCACTGTAATCAGATGCTTTCTTAACCTGCTGCTTTCACACCGCTGTCAGCTTTTGCTGTGTTTATTTTGTTATTGAGAGGGAAGTGCACAGCATATATTTACATATTCATCCAAACGCCGCTCAGCAGCTTCAGGTTCGGCTGCGTTTAATCTGATCTGAAGCGCTGTCTTCTCTTGAATTGCATCAGGAGAGCTGAATTACAGTCTTACGCTACAGCGCCACACTGGTCAAACTGTGTTATTGCAGGCTCTTACATTAGGTCATATGAGATCAAACGACTACTCGACAACAAAAATATTTGTCGACAATTTTTTGTTGTCGATAATGTCGACTAATCGTTTCAGCCCTAGTGTGATGTGGACGGTCACTGATGTGATCGCGGGTCACTAATGGCTCGTCACAGCAATCGCTGAGCCTCTTATTAATGATTCAACACGTGAAAGTGGATTCTACACCTCAAAACCTCATCCATATTTCATGCTGTCAGATGGAGTCATTATGATTGTTGAGCTGATCATGGTGAAAATATGTCCCGTGTTATACCATAGATTATTAACAATAACATCACAGCTTACAGGTTTGGACTGACTTGAGGAAATAATGCCTTAATTTCTGGTGTGTGTATGTGTATAGTGTGTAAGATTGTATGTGTATAAGAGTGTGAGTGTGTGTGTGTGTGTGTGTGTGTTTGTCTGTGTGTAGTGTGTGTGTGTATAAGAGTGTGAGTGTGTGTGTGTTTGAGAGCGTGTGTGTGTGTGAGTGTTTGTGTGTGTGTGTCTGTCTGTGTGTGTGTCTGTGTAGTGTGTGTGTGTGTGTATAAGTGTGTCTGT